TGCAACCTTCAGGGCTAGGGGGGTCTTTGTCCTGGGTCCATCCTCTCCAGAAAACCACATCACAGGTGTACACCCTAAAGCCCAAGGCCAAAGTCAAGTCTGGATGCAGGGGCTGAGGTGTTCACATACATTTTTGCATGACTCCTCAAGGGCAAGGGGAAAATGGGAAGAAAAGGAAGACAAGGCAGTGGCCATGGCCAGCTCTGCCTACTCTGCCATGTTGAGTGCAGCAGGACTCACTCTGATTGCACTATTGGGCCCAGGTGTAATTATCAGGTCATCGAGCACATTTTTCTGGCTGCATTTATCTGTTACATGTGGGACTTGTACTACTCTGGATTAGATGTGTGTTTCACTTTTAAGTAGAGCAAATAAAAGAACAAAGAGAGAAAGGGCTCATAAACATCATAAGCTACATTCTTGAGAGATAACATTTCATTTGGTCCTAGTTACAACCTTATGGAGAATCGTTGTCCCCTTTAGAAAAGCTGAGTTTAGCCATGATCATGCTGCGGGATAGGGGCAGCATCTTTATGACTCCACAGCCTATGCTTTCAATGCACCTACCCATGTCACTAACTCAGACATTTTCTGGGACATCCATATCAACCATTCTCAAAAAGTAGCCAACAGATGGAAAATTTTCTGTTTGTAAGTCTGTGGTTAAAAACTGAAAAACTGGTTCTGAACATTAGTTTTGCAAAGATTGATGTTCATAGGCAGAGAAAACCAAAAAACCAAACTCACTGCCAATAGAGTTGATTCTGACTCTGGGAGTTTCCAAGGCTGTAATTCTTTCCAGAAGTAGACTGTCTCATCCTTCTACCATGGAAGAGCTGGTGGGTTCAAACCACCGACCCTTTAAAAACCCACTGTCTCCTAGTTAGGTCTGATTCATAGTGACCCCTCCTTGGGTTTCCGAGGCAATATCACTACAGAAGTAGATTGCCCAACCTTCCTTCTGGGGAGTGGCTGGTGGGTTTGAACCACCAGCCTTTTGGTTAGCAGTCAGATGCCTTAGGCACTAGGCCACCAGAGCTCCCTTTGGTAGCAGCCAAATGCCTTAACCATTGCACCACCAGAGCTCCTTACAGGCAGAGAAGCAGATTTCAAAACTCTTGACTACTAGCAGAAAGGTGGTTCAAACCCACTCAGAAGCACTGCAGGAGATCTGCTTCCAAGAGTTCACAGCCTTGAGACCCCTATAAGACAGTTCTGCTCTGCAAACGTGGGATTGCCATGGGTCAGAACTGATTCTATGGCAACTAGCAACAACCACCTGATAGAATAAGTCAGACTGAGCAAGAAATAAAGAGCCCATTTTTCCTAGTCTTGGCACTTGCCCATTAGGTACTGGGAGATGGAGGGATTTGTGTTTGAGGGGTGAAGCGGGCAGAGGAACCAATAGTTTCAAAGATCTTTGTAAATTTTGACCTTGTAGAGCTGAGCAATGTTCAGCTGCTTTTCTTGGTGATAATACTGCTTCCTTTATCTAATAGGGAACACATCTACTAAAGAACTGACACTCATGGTGTAAGGTTAATGAGTATGAAACTAAACAATCATATATCCCTCTGGCTTTGGGGATTTCTAAAGACCAGATATTACATACATATTAGATGATAAACTGTAGGATTCTCCAGCCTCCACTTGAGGAAACTGAATCCTATAGAAAGCAATGAGAGCTAAGGCTAGAAGAACCCAGGTTACCTATCTCCTCACCCAATATGTTCCTTATGCAGCATAAAATTCAGCTATTAATGAGAAAGCCATTTGTGTACATATTTTTGAAATAACATTGAAGTCAAATCAAAGTGGTGGGTACCACCACTACTATAGGTATGCAGAAGAGAGGAAAGTTGTATCTAGGAAAGAAGGAAATCTAAGTATTAGATCCCTGTGTACAGGCTCACTGACCTCCCACTGACATTCCTTAGAGGCACTTTGGGGTTTATTGCTAAAAAAAGACATTGCCAAATTTTGTCTCACTTGCAAGAGGTAATAATATTAATTAAATTTTCTTAGGGAAAGGTAATTTAAGTCTACACCACTACTGAAAATTCAATCTTTATTACTAGGTTTAAGGAAACCTAGTAAATACTTGAAGAAAAGAACACTGCATTTTATCTGAAGAAATAGGATGACTTAGAAGGTAGGAATCAGATTGGAAAAAAATCTAGCATTTTCCCAAATATTTAGAAATGCATATGGCTTTATTCAGTTATATGATAAACATGGAATTTTCTAGAAAAAATATGCAGATAAGACTGGCTATTTCAGCTTTTAAGACTTCAACTATTAACAAATTGAAGAGAATTAAAAAGAAGCAAAACTCTCTAAAGAGTACACTTTCTTATGAGAAGTGAAAAAGAATATATGGCACTTTAAAAAAGGACTAAATCATATAAGAAACTACAGAGGGACTATAATGTCCTTTAATGTATTTGTTGAAAGATGGAAAACCAGTGATATTTAATAAGACTTAAATATACTTATTTAATCTTCCTGGGAACATAATTTTATTACAATCAGGCTTATTGAATTTTCTTGACTTAAATTGCTTCTTAAAATATTTACAAATAATATAAAATTTACCTGCATATTTGGCCAATTTCCTTTTTCTTGATTTTAACAGAACGTGGTCCAAGAGTTAATGGAAATTGTCCAAAGTAACCTTAACGGACATTTCTTTGAACACAGCATATACACATTAGTATCTGTCTGGCCAGAGTGTCAATTTTTCTTTATTTTTAAAATAAGACCATTTAAAAATGTTATTTACTACAAACAAAAATTCTCTCCCCCTCTCACCTTCTTTTAAGGTAAAGCAAAGACCCAATCCACTCTGAGCAGGAGGGAAAAAAAAAAATATATATATATATATATATAATCAGTAGAACTGATGTTTGTTGTGACAGAGTAATACGGTAACACCAGGAGATTACGGTACTAGCTGGGGCTACTGCCTGTGTTACGTCAGCGCGATCTGCAAAGTTCCTTGTGGTTCTTTGCTGGTATCTGAGAACTGAATGTTAAAAGGGTGATTGTGGAGTTATTGTTTAGCTATATTATTAATTTTTTTTCTTTTCTTTTTCTATTTTCATTCTTTATTTTTAAATTTCCAGGTAAACTGATAGTGAGCTTAAAGACAACCGTGCTGGAGGGGTGAGTCAGCTGGTGCAAAAGGGCAAGCTTTGGTTGGGTTCTTCGGTGAGACCGTCACCTATCTCCCCCTTCCCAGAGAGGAGGTGGCAGAGCAGCTCCTGGAACTGAGGCCCTAACCGCTCCCACCCCCGCGTCGATCAGTGGAGCTCCGCATCGATGCACGAGGTGAGTGAGCGGTGAGGCTGGGCGCGGGGCGCCAACATCAAGCGGGGCCAAGTTGGTGAAGGCAGATCTCCCCCAGCCTCCAGGTGAGATGGAACCCCCACTTTGCTCAAGCCCCTCATTCTTTTTTCACCAGTTTGTATACCAGCACTCTACCTTCCATTCGGTTCTATCAAATATTCTGTGAAGTTATCTCTTAGTTAACAAGTGTTTTAACCCTTTATTTATTGCCCCAAAGTAAGGAAAAGGATTTCTTCAGTTGCTCATTTTTTAGGACACTCTGGGAGGTTTTGAGCTTATGAATCACAATGGCCTTGCCTGGGGATCCCGCCTCAGGGACCAACCCCTGAAGCTTTAGAAGGCAAGGTAAACACGGCCCTTACTCATCCTACTTCAGCTGAGTTCCCTATGGTTTGTTTGCAGTTGTGGAAACAAGGTTCTTACGCAGACTGTGGCCCCAGCCCCAGGTCTTGATTTTTACGCCTGCAAAATCCGCAGTGACCCTTCTGCAGAGGGATGCCCACCTCACCCCCGCACCTCCCCAGCAGCCCGGGTGTGGCATCTGGGCTAGAGCCCTGTGGTAGCTACTGACCCTGTGGGTTGGAAAGGAGTCCTGCGCGGACCTGGGGTCGTGTTCAGCCCTCGGGAGCCTCCGAATTTAGCTCGAGACCTGCCTCTCAGGTCTGCTTGGCTCGTGGACAGACCCGCGCACTCCGCAGAGCCCAAGTGTGAATTCCTCAGGCGTGAGCTTGAGCGTGCGCGTGGTACTATCCCTGCAGTTCCCGGGTCTCAGCGGTTCCTTCTGCCAGGCTGCCCCCTCCAGGTGACTGGGAAACAACCTGTTCAGGAGACAACTGGGTAGATCTCCAGATTCTACCAGCTCGTGGTGACGAAAAAGCCAGCCCCAGTTGAAACGCTGGGGCTTCGGCAATTTCAATTTCGCTATACCGGAGTTGGGAGCTCTGTTTGCATAGTGCCTAAGGCACTTGACTGCTAACCAGAAGGCTGGTGGTTCAAACCCACCAGCCACTCCTGGGAAGGAAGGTTGGGCAATCTACTTCCGTAGTGATACTGCTTCGGAAACCCAAGGAGGGGTCGCTGTGAGTCGGGTCCAACTCCATGGCACATAACAACAACAACACACTAGAGTTCGAAACAGGCGGCGAGACGCAGCAGCTATTGAGGTTTGTTTCCTTCGGATCCTGAACCTGCCCTGAGGACGCTCCGCGGAGCATGCGAAGGCAGATTCCTAGAGGCCAGGGCGTTCGCGGCGCGTTCCGGTCCCGTGTAGCCTCCTCTGTGTCAGGGAGACGCCGCTCCCCCACCGCAGAGTCTTCCTGCCGGTGTCCGACCGCCCGTCGAGAGCCCTTCCCAGAGCTGCTGGCTCACAAGCAACCTTTCTCTTTAGGCTCTTTCAGGAAGAAGCCGTCAAACGATGCTCAGTAGCCGCGTGGATTTTGGCAAACATTTCACACCCACGACCCTCAGCCGGTCAGCCTAAAATCTGGATCTAGCACGAGCCCATTCCTCATCCTCTTCAGTGGCGGGGCAATCACGCTATTAGTGACTGCAGGCGGGAAGCAGCACCCACATGCCAAGAGTCCCCGGATTTGAGCTTCAGTGCCAGACCTGGACTTGCCTGAGGTTTAGGGGAAGACTGGCGCTGGATTTTTGAATTCCAAACTGCACAGAATGCTGAGTCTTCCCTCCAGCAGGACGCATCAGACAGTGCCAGGAAGCGGACTTCTGTAATTCACTGACAGCGCATTTACAACGCGTCTCCTTGAGCTTTGCAACAAGCTTCGGGTAGGAAGGGAGTTGGGGCCGTGGCCAGCGCAGCTGGTAGACCGAGTCTGCGGACAAACTCGTGGGACCCTGGCCATGTCGCCTTTAATGCCCTGCCCCTTTACATTGCCTTCTGAGGGTTTCCAAGGCTGGCTGGGATTCCTTCCCTTCCGCGCTCTCTTTCTCACCCCCAACCAAACCCAGCGGGCAGGACTCCCCAGAGCCTAGACCTCTTGACTCTGCCCCCGCCCGAGGGTGGCCCTCGAGAGCCGGACTTCGCCCGGCCCTGGCTGGGACCATGGTGTTTCTCTCTGGAAATGCTTCCGACAGCTCCAACTGCACTCACTCACCCGCACCGGTAAACATTTCGAAGGCCATTCTGCTCGGGGTGATCTTGGGGGGCCTTATAATTTTCGGCGTGCTAGGAAACATCCTAGTGATCCTCTCCGTGGCCTGCCACCGGCATCTGCACTCGGTCACTCACTACTACATCGTCAACTTGGCGGTGGCCGACCTTCTGCTCACTTCCACAGTGTTGCCCTTCTCGGCCATCTTCGAGATCCTGGGCTACTGGGCCTTCGGCAGAGTCTTTTGCAATATCTGGGCGGCAGTGGACGTCCTGTGCTGCACTGCGTCCATTATGGGACTCTGCATCATCTCCATCGACCGCTACATCGGCGTGAGCTACCCGCTGCGCTACCCCACCATCGTGACCCAGAGGAGGGGGCTCATGGCCCTGCTGTGCGTCTGGGCGCTCTCACTCGTCATCTCTATAGGACCTCTATTCGGCTGGAGGCAGCCGGCCCCAGAAGACGAGACCATCTGCCAAATCACGGAGGAGCCAGGCTATGTGCTCTTCTCCGCTCTCGGCTCCTTCTATGTCCCTCTGGCCATCATCCTAGTCATGTACTGCCGGGTTTATGTGGTGGCCAAGAGGGAGAGTCGAGGCCTCAAGTCCGGCCTCAAGACCGACAAGTCGGACTCAGAGCAAGTGACGCTTCGCATCCATCGGAAAAATGTCCCCGCAGGGGGCAGCGGAGCGTCCAGCTCCAAGAATAAGACCAACTTCTCCGTGAGGCTCCTCAAGTTTTCCCGGGAGAAGAAAGCGGCCAAGACGCTGGGCATCGTGGTCGGCTGCTTCGTCCTCTGCTGGCTGCCTTTTTTCTTAGTGATGCCAATCGGTAAGTCTTTGCAACACATCATCTTAGTTCTTCTGGTTTTCTCCCTCTTCCTCTTCAGCTACCTCAGATCATAGCCAGGGAGGAAGAAGAAGGATCTGCATGTCAAACAGCAAGGCTACAAGGGCAGTTGGAAAGGCTCTCTGGTAAAATGTGGATTTGCAGTCTCTCCTTTATATTATGTCCTAGGGCACTTTTTCAGACACTGTAAAGTACCTTCCATCTGATGCAGATTAATTAGTCTCCTTAATAAGAATACAACTTTTGTTAATGACTTTCAGCATGTGTTGAATTTACATACATCTGCCCTCTTTCAAGTCTCTCATGATGGACTTAGGGGCTGTGGAATGACACATTAGTCTCTGCTGTGAATTGCAAGTTTTCTTGACATTAAAATAATTGACTTGCTTTTTCTGGACAAACTTGTAATATTAAATTATCCAGTAAGGGTTAGTTATGATGATCAGCTTATGCTCTATATCTTGGTTAATTTTACTTTCTCCATTCAATATGGAAGAAAGTATGGTGAGCCACTAAGAGGGAAAAATAATAATTTTATGTCCAAACCACTTCAAGCCTTAAAGAAATCATCATAATGTTTCCAATAAGTAAAAACTTCTTCCTTCATTTGAAAAGTATAGAAATAGACACTACTCTTATCCAGAATCACTCGAAAAGTTGCAGATTCCAGTGTTTGAAAATAATCAAGTAATTTTACAAATCCACTTTTTACAGATGCTAAATTAGCTGTTGTCAAACCTAATTAGCTCATTCTGAGTGTCAGCAAGCTGATCCACTTGGAATAGTCAGCTATCTCAGCTATCTCTGAAAGGCTTCAATGAAATCCCAAAATGGTTGTTTGCTATTTTTAGTTTGAGCTCAAATACAGACCCAAACATTGGTTATCCACTAACTTTAGCAAACAAAAAGTTATGATAAGAATTCATTAAAGTCCCATCTCCAATATTTTAGAGCCAAATTTAAATGGCTTGTACTTAACTACTTAATTTGCAGCTCTATACAATAATAGCAGCTGTTGTTTTTTGAGTGTCAATTGCGTTGGACACATTTAACCAGGTACTTTGTTTAATTAGCCCTCTCAACAATTCAGTAAGGTCAGTTTTAGCATCCTGAAATCATAAGTGGGAAGAAGGCATTTTTCAGGTTCTAGGGCTGCATTGTCCTATGTCATAGCCACCAGCCACATGTGTCTATTCAAATGAAAAATAAAACAAAAAACTCACTGGCATTGAGTCAATTCCAACTCATAGGAACCCTATAGGGCAAGGTAGAATTGCCACATAGGGCTTCCAAAGCTGTAAATCTTTATGGAAGCAGATTGTCACATTTTTCTCCTGCAGAGCTGCTGGTGGGTTCAATCCCCGATCTTTTAGTTAGCAACCAAGCACTTTAACTGCCACACCACTAGAACGCCTTCAAAGTTAATTAAAATTAAATAAAAAGTTATATTTAGTTCATCAGTCCAGTAGCCACCTTTTACGTGCTTAACAGCCACATGTGGCTACTGGCTGCTACTGTGGACCACAGAGGTGCAGAATGTTTCCATCAGTATCGCCATTTCTGTCCAGCGGTGTTGCTCAGGGGATCCTTTTTAGTCCACTAGTTGAGTTGGCCTTCCATTGTGCCTGCTCATCATTAGTGCTTACTCTAATCCTGGAATTATATCACAGCTTTGAATTTAGTTAAATAACACTCTTCACCTGGGCCACTGCCTGTTTATCTACCTCTCTGCATCCCATCTCTTGCTCTCTCCTGAAGTGTATATATTTATTAATTCATCTACTCACTCAACAAGTGTGAAGGGACAGAAAACTGAGTCAGGGGAAATAAGAGCCAGATGGTGAATGGTCCAGGTGACAATAGGTGACCTGGCAATCTGGGACTCTGATGGTGATTGAGCTAAATGGGGATATGGGACATGATGGGTTAAGTGTTAATGTCATCTAGCAGAAGGTGAATTCTGGTTTCTAGTTATAGCCTCCCTCTTGAACTTGGTCTCTCAGGGAGTCAGTAATGTTGAGGTGAAGATTTGGTGGGAAAAGGGAGTTGTGGTATAACAGCATGTGGAATCACTGGATTTCCTTTAAATCCTAATAAGGGTCAGGTAACAGGATAGAAATTGAAAACATGTAGTTAACAGTGTCCTACTAGGCTGCTGAGTAGGGCAAAAATCCTTAAACCCACCCATGTGTCATCCACAGGTTTCTCTTAACACCAAATTATTCAGAGACCATTTCTGCCAGCATGTATTGACTGTATAAAAAAGCACCAAATACAGTGTTAAACAGTGAGAATAAAAGATAAAAAGACATTCCCTATCCTCAGCAGCGTCACAAACTAGTTAAGGAGAGAAACTGTAAACAATTATTATGGTCTATGAGATTGATCCTCAAAGTGGTATTACAAGAGGGAGCTCTGGTAGCATAGTGGCTAAGACACTTGCCTGCTAACCAGACGGCTGGCGGTTCAAACCCACCAGCCACTCCTCGGAAGGAAGGTTGGGCAATCCTACTTCCGTAGTGATACTGCCTCGGAAACCCAAGGAGGGGTCGCTATGAGTCGGGGCCGACTCGACGGCACATAACAACAACAACAACAACAAAGAAAAAAAAACAGTTAATTATGTCTTGGATTCACTCTGGAAGCTCCCAAAAGCACTGCCATTGGGTAGTAATTTAAGAAAACACTATTTGTGCTGGGTCATCAGTGAGACGGTATTTTTTTTTTAACTATCTTATGTGCATTTTTCATGCAGAATAGGAACAGAAGAATAAATGTGCTGTGATATTAGCATCCAGAGACAGGACACTTAAGCATGACAAGCACCCTCTTGGGAAGAAGAGGTTATCGGTCTGCTCAGGGCTGTGGGAGACTAGTGGGATTAGGAGCTGAAAGCAGGGGTCAAGATGAGTGTGGTATACAGAACTGGGCGATGAAACGCCATGTGTGGTAGCAACCTGCCAGGATTACCGTGGGGTGCCACTCTATTTCATCACGGTACATCCTTCCTGTATTTTGTGTGAGGACTGTGCCTCCTTACTGCCCCTATAATTCTCTCCTTCCAATGCTCCTCCCCACCAAAGCCATGCTTGTTGCTGAATTGAATAGTATGATTCCAAGTAAGAATCTGGCTTGCCTGCTTCCAAATCTAAATCTTGCTAACTTTCTTTTTGCATCGTAAATGTTTAGTTAAAATTCAGAATGCCTTGGGGAGGGTTGGGATCACATCTGAGGCTTTTATCGGTCATTCATATTGTAGAGTGAATTAAAAAAAAAAGTTTTGATTGTGGAGATGAATAGAGAGAATACGAAGGTATTAGCCTTCAACATATGAAACAAGATGAAAGGTGAAAAATGTTTATCTGTGGCCTGAAGTGAACATTAATTTTGCCTATTTCATCCTTTTGCCAAGAACTCACTAGCCCCAGAAGCAGGGGGTTGATGGGGAAAAAAATGTTGGCTTGAGATTCAAACCAACACGGCAATAGATGTTAATTTTATCAGAATCCATATGACTCACAGACCATTACTGACATATGTCAACATAAGGATGTTGTTATGAAGGGTAGGTTCACTTGGAGATCTGAGAGACCATGAGGGGATAAAAAAGAAATAAAGGGATACGACATTGACTGAACATATACAAATATATTCTATATGCATTATGTTATTTGAGTATAAAATATGGCATCATTATTGGATGTAAATCATTGCTATTATCTTTAAGTCAAAGGATGCAATATCAGGCTGAGATGAGGCTCCTATGGACCCATGAGTGGTCCATAGGTTTGAGTTTGTTCATATTTGAGAATTATGTGAAAAATGTACAAGAGGTAGCACAGTGGTGGGGAGAGAAAATACATTCTAAGTGGGTTGCTTCGGGAAAGTAGAACTAACGAGGGGGTTATCAGGTGAGAACAATAAGGTAGAGAATGATTCATTCAATTCATTCAGCAAAAATTTATTGAGCATCACTATGTGCCAGGCAGCTAGACAATCACTGGAGATCAAGGCAAATCTCTGCCCCAATGGAGCCTAAAAAAATGAACAAATAAATAAATAGCAAAATTTCAGATGGTGATATGTGAAACACAACAAAGAAGAAGGGGCAAGTACAGTGCTAACATAATAACACTGACTCCTTGGTGGATGCCAAAGATAGCTAAAAGTTAAGTAGTTAAGTATTGTTTTGCTGCAGGCATGAAGGGATAAGACCTCTGATTCTTACCAAATGGTTGACCTTTTAGAGATAATGGTGTGAAGAGCCGCTAATAGCCATTATGATTTTAAGATAAGAATCTAATTTTTTCAGTTACTCTTGCTGCACACCATAAACTGTCCTAAAACTTAATGATTTAAAACAGCAACTATTTTATAGCTGGTAATTCCATGAGTCAGAAATGAGTCAGTCTTGGTGTCACACTCTCTTCCTCCAGTGGTCTAGACCCATTTTCTTACTGAGTGGCAGTTCTCTTCCAAAATAGCAAAGGCAGAAGTTGCCAAGCCTCTTAAGAGCGAGGCAATGTCACTTCCACTTCATCCTGTGGTCCAAACAAATGACAAAGCCATCTAGGTTCAAGGGGAGGGGACATAGAGTTTTCTCCCCATGGAGGAATAGCAGGGATGAGGGAATTGTGTTCCTCTTGCAGAATATCTACCACATACCTATATCAAATAACATTTATCTTTCATTCTTCCATTATATATCGAGAATTTTCCATGTGTTGAGCTTTATGCAATGCACTGAGTCAGGGTCCTTGCCTTCCTGGAGGCTTCTTATCTCCAGAGGGAGATAAAAATTAATCAAATAAACATATTAAAAAATGCGAAACTGTATAAAGTACAGCAAAGGGGATGTGCAGCAAATACTGTGGATGAGAATGGCCCTACTCAGGGAGGTCAGAAAAGGCTTGCTGGAAAACCGACTTTCGCTTGGAGGACTGCATAATATGTGTTCAGTGGTTAAAAGGTGATACTGCCTC